CACCGCATCCAGCCGCCGCGGTCGTGGCGGATGGAGGCGTACAGACCCCAGCGAGCGCTGCCCGCGATGACGAGGGTTACCGACGTCTCTCCTCCGGGGAATTTGTACTCGCGCTGGCCGAGGTTCATGCCGCTGAGGTCGAGGATCACCTTGCGGTTCTCGACCAGCGGGGCGGACCCCTTGAGCCGGACGACGAAGCGCTGGTCGGTGCCGTCTATCCGGTAGTAGGCCTCTCCGGCGTCGTCCTGGGTGGCCCATCGGTTGCGGTACTTTACCGCGTTCTGGCGGGCTCGTCCTTGGGGGATATCGCCGAAGCTAAACGTGTCCATCTGGTACTGGTGAGTGTGTTCGAGCACGAATCGGTGGGGCGTGAGGTTGACGATCGAGACGTAGAATCTGGCGCTCGCCCGGTTCGTGACGGGGTTCAGGAAGAGGTCCCATGGTTGAAAGCTCCCTGCTGGGATTGTTTCGTCGCTGTATGTGCGGTCTTGCGGGCGACACACATCGCCGTTTTGCCCGCTCACCAGGAGTCGGGCGAAGCTGGCAACGAGGGCCAGCGATCGGATGATTCTCATGTTCCGTAAAAAAGTTGGTATCCGGGGTCAATGAATGTGCTGGTGTAAATGAGTGTTTCCTAGAGTGGGATAGTGTGATAAAGGGGTTGGGGGATTTGGTAATAATAGGTTAGAATGAGTGTGTGTGAAGCTGCAAAGCAGCCACGAAAATGAGTGATTCTTCCCCCCAACGAGATGTATGTACAACACACACTTTATTGAATAAAGAAATAAAACAAACACAGAGAGAGAGAGAGTGAGAGGGAGGAAGACAGGGAAAGAGAGGGAGGCGAGATTGAATTAACAGTTGTGAAAATATACCACCCCTACAACAAAAAAAAAAACAACACCAACTAAAAATCTCCAGCATGCCTCAAGACTTTACACGAAATGAGACCCCGTGGGTGCCCCCAGTTGGAGACCCCTGACGCCTTTTGGTCCCAGGAATCAATCACAGGCGCCAACTCTGTTTTCCCACTCTTTTTCTCATCGTGACTTTGCAAAATCTGATCCACTCGATATCAGTTTTGTCGCCCATCATCATCCGCCCAGGAAAAAAAACACCTGGTGCCCGGGTGTTCGCTGGGATCCCTCCCCACCCCCTTTTGGTGAAACAACAAATTAGGAATTTGCCATGAGATGGGTTCGTCCAATGACCATCCGCCTACACACCAAGATCAGCGCCATTCGAGTCCCGACCCCCGCAAGCGCCCCCTGCAACGACCCCTGAGTGGTTGGAATTTGTTGGCCTCCGGTTCATCTGGGCGAGCGCAAAAACCTTTTGGCGCTTGACCCTTTTTTTTTTCCACGACCCCGCCTGGGCGAATCGCAGAGCCAAAAGCTCACCAACAAGCAAAGCCTCAGTTGACCAGCAAAAGTCGGGGGGGGGGGGGGCAGCTGGTACCAATTGCAACGTCCCATCAACCCATGTACGTATTGTAAAAGCCCCATTTGGGGATTGTTTTTAAAGGTGAAACAGGGAATGTCATTCACTCACTTTGATAAATAAGATAAACTTTAAACCTTTGCCAAGTGATCAAATCTTGCAACGTCTATTTGTTGAGGCCCATCCTGGGAGATATTCACCGGACCATCTTTTTTTTTTTTTTTTTTTTTTTTTTTGGTGGATTGTATGCATGCATGCATGCATACCTACGTATATAATATGCCACGGGAACGGGAACGGCGTAAACTAGGCATCGCATGGATGTCATGAATGATGTTGTTATTATTATTTATTTTTTTAATTTTTAATTTTTAATTTTTAAAAAAATCTGGGCCCCTGATTCCGGCCCTTCGGCCGCCATCACGGTCACCTCTTCAACAGACCACCTCGCGGCGGCAATATCCTCGTGGCAATATTGCATGACTGACAAAAAATAATTACGTGAGTGGTCATGAACACAACACTCTCATCCCGTTGCATAAGATCAGGCCGACATTGTATTGTACCTTTTGCTTTTACAAACTTTTGACAAGTTTTTGTACCGTGGGGTCACGTTGAACTTTGGCTCGCAAAGGTGAAGGGATCACGCCGACTATGCATGTGAGCAGGTGCGTATAATTTTTAATCTCCATTTCCGAGTCAGTTTTCATTTTTCATTTTTCGCAGCCCAAAAAGTACCATCAAGAATAACTGGATTGTTGTGTAGTCTATAAACTTTTTTTTTTAATAAACATTTTGATCATTGAGTCCGTCCTGAAAAAATAAAAATAAAAAAAAATAAAAAAATTTAAAAAAAAATTAAAAAAAATGAAAATAAAATTATAAAAATGCCAAGCAACAAAGAAATGTCAATCCCTATTCATATCCCTACCTAGGTAGAGTCCAAGACCAGGAAAAAAAATGACCTATCCAATAATACCGGACTCGCCATCCTTTTTTTTTTTTTTTTCTCCCCTCTGATTTTTTTTTTTTTTCCCTCTCAATTCAAAGGCAAAATCGTTAACCCGCACGGCAGCACCACGTCCCCCGGCGCCCGGTGATCGTTGACAAAGCTCATCGAAATCTCCTGCAGCTCCGAATCGTCCTCGACCACAATCCTTCTCGGCCCCGCCCTCCCCGCGTGCGCGCCGTCCGAGCCCCCCTCGAGCCTTTCGGCCTGAGCTTCAACCGCGGCCCTGATCAGCTCGGATACCTCCCGCTTGAGGTTCAGGCACTCGGCAAAGATCGGGCTGGCCTCGATTGTTTCCAGCAGGAGTTTTTTACCCGTGCTACCGCCGCCGGACTCGTCACGGGTTTCTTCTTCTTTCAGCGCCCGGGCGATCGCTCGCTGCCCGCCGTCACGGCGGGCCGTGTCCGACGCCAGCGTGTGCAGGAACAGAATGATCCCCGCGAGGGCTTGCGCGAGCAGGACCGCGCGCTCGTGCGGGCTGAGGTTGAGGAGGATGGAGCCCGGCTCGGTCCCGGAGCGGTGGAGGGACTCGGCGAGCAGCGGTTTCTGGTTGCTACCGAAAGTCGAGTCGAGGATGCGGGCGAGCAGGGTGGACTCGACGGAGGGAACGTCATTCAGCGAGGCTTCAGGGTCGACGCCGCGCAGGTTGAATATCTGGATGGCCTTGGCGAAAAAGTCGGGGAGGATGTCGCGCATGTCGACGCCGTGAACCTTGCGGGCGTGGCCCGTGTCTACTTCGAAGTAGGAGGTTGCTACATCTGCGCAGACTGCATGTGGGCACGCACGGAAATGCGGTTATTAGTACCTTTTTTCATGGGGTGACGGGAAACTTTCCGGGGAAACTGGAAAGGAGCCAAGACTTACATTGAGTCGAGATGGAAGGGGAGTGTCTTTGCGCGGCTGCAAAGGTGTACTTGACGTTTCTGTCCCGGAGGACGGTCAACGTGCTCAAAACGAGCTGCTCGAAGCTCCTGTTGTCGTCGTCGTCGGCATCGTCGCTCGAGACACAAACCCGCGGTGTCTGGGCGGAGAGCAAGCCGTCCCACTTGGCGGCGATGTTCTGCTCAAACCTTTTGCCCGCGAGATCCCGGAGGATATGGGAGACGGCAACCTTGGACAGGCCGCGCTCGGCAGAACCTCGAGACCACTCCAGCCGAACCTGGCTCGTGAACTCCTCGTACTTGGTGAAGACGAGGACGACGGGGACGTGCGGCGTGGCGATCTGGCTGAGGCCCTCCGCGAAGAAGCGTTTCTCGAGCTCGCCGACGCCTCGGCTCTCCTCGCTCGCGACGCAATACCAGATGCAGTGGATTTGGTCTTGGGGTTTGGCCGCCGCCGACCGGGATTTGAGGAAGTCGAGCACTCGGTCGTAAATCTTTTCGTCGCCCGACCAGAAATTTGGCGACGCATGGATGGCTAATCTGGAATTCTGTCCGAGCAGGTCGAGTTCCTTTTCGATATCATGGTCTGGTTCAAAGAGGTCTGATACTAATCTCTACAGTGTGGGTAGGTAGATAAGTATCTCATCAGTCAACATGCACAGAACAGCAGGTCACATACACGGTAGTAAATAAAATAACAAAAAAAAAGGGGGGGGGGGGCGGGTGGTTTAAAGCCAACCACAAACTCACCTTCTCAAGATCAACACCAAATACCTCGGAAAACAGCAACTGCTTTGTCGACTCGGGAGTGCCCAAAACCAGTATGCGGAATTTTGGACATGCAGACAAGAACTCGGATGGCGGTGTAAGTGTCACGGTAGTAGTCTCGCTGTCTGCCATATTGTGTTTGCGCAAGTGGGTGGTTGTATCTTTTCTTCTTTGGTTGTGTTTAGAAGTAAAGTAACTCCGTATTCTGTTCTTGTTACTCAATTGAAACAAAACTAAATTATCTGCAACTTATCAGCTTGGATTTTATTTATTTATTTATTTACTTCTTTTTTTGTTTTAATCCAAACGGTAAGCTAGATATGACGAAGCTTTTATGCTTTCATGTTTTTGAGCGCCCGCATAGAATTTTTTTGTTTCTAGGCCTGGGATCTCTGAGGTGTTGTCTGCCAAGTGGGTGGTGGTCTGATGACGCCACTTCATCGTCAAGGTCAGGCGATTCAGGGTCCATGATCACACTTTCAGCCCCCCCAAAATAAATCTCACCCAACCCGCAACTCAAATCACTCTGCCGTACGATTTTTTGGGTCAACTTTCAATCACCGTTGTTCCGTTGTTCTCGAACTCCACGGAAACCTCCGTTGTTACATGGTTAACGTGATGTCCATTTACTAACGTTCTCTCAGGGGCTAGGTACTTACTGTAGCTGATCTGGGACCCTTGGGTTCCAGGGGAGGTAACCCCACTTTTGGACCTCTATTGTTATGTTTTATTTAGTTCGTTCCCGCTCCATGGTGTCTCCCAAAGGAGATTATATATATATATTTTACTTAACCGGAGTAATAAGGCATCTACTTGACATTCTAAACCCCCCCCCCCCCCACCAGGCCAAAAAATAAAAAAAAAATGCGTTAAATCAAGGTTAAAAAGCCAAAAAAAAGTATCTCTCCCGCCGGGAATTGAACCCGGGTCCCGAGCGTTTTTGTCATGGAGGTGACAAGCTCATATACTAACCACTATACTACGGAAGACTTACAGGTGTGTGCACCTGTCGTAGTGAGGAACTGCTGGAGATCCTTGGTCCAATTAGCTATTATGTACCCATTATTTCATAAGCTGCAAGGCCCCGCCCCCTCTCTTTCAACAACCACACCAACGTACTCATTTAACCAACTTGGAATAATAAAGATTTACTTTTCATCAACCCATTACAACATCTGCAATAAAATCCATTCTTTCGAATTCTGTATATACTTTTTTTTTTTTTTTGGTATTTACCGAAAACACCTCCCGATATATTCTCGCCAAGAGTTACTCTTTTTTTTCGGTTTGTTTTGACGTCATGTATTTCGGGTCCAGGCTCCAAAGGTCTAGTGTAGATCTGCCGTTGCATTTTTCCCCAGATCCCCTATTCTCGAAAAGATATAACCGTCATGTTTTTTCTTTTACAATACTTCTGAGGTGTCATACAATGCGGGGCAGTGTTTACTGACTGAGGCATTGCCTTGGTGAACGGTGCTGGTGGTATTAATTAGTAACGCCGAGTGGTGTTTTGATGCTCTTATGCTACTATAGCCAAAGGAAACTTGAAGGCAAGCAATAGTTCATAGAACCACCTATCAAATTACATAATTCGAAGTTGTATCAGATGACACATGTTCAGCACCTCTCGGGCACTAGCGGCTTAAGAATTTGTTGAATATCAAACTACGGCAGGGTTTTGAAATGCCAATGTACCCAGAATCCATCACCAAGTTACATAATTGGTTACAGAGACTGGAATAGCCTGGAAATGTCCAGAACTTACAAGCCGAACTGTACACTGCCACTGAACCCCCCTGTAAAAGCCCTTTGCACCACGATGCATCATACCCATGGTTGGCCGGGAACTGGACCATCTAAGCCCAAGCACCAACAAGACTCATGCAAACCGCACCGAAAAACACCAACAAGCAGGCCATGACACGTCTCTTGCCGCGCAGCACACTCCAGCTGTGGTCGCTCAAAAAGTCCTCAGCCAGCAACTCAATCAGAGCAGCAAACACAAGCAGGCCCGACGAGAGAGCGTTCATGGTGCCAACGAGGATGAGACCGAACTCGGAATCGGGAGCGTAGAGAGTATGCGTGGCAAGACCAATAGCTTGGCCGATGGGTGTCCTTGAGAGCGACAAAAGTTAGCCAAGGCGCCAAGACGAGGGAGTTGTGGCAACGCCAATTAAAAAAAATTAAAAAATAAGAAAACTTACGTGCAACCATACGCAAGAACCATCAGCCAGGGCTGCCGAGTGTCCTTGGGCCAAGATATGGATGAGATACGAGCACCGAGAGCAAGCCCCTCAAATGTTTGATGGAAAGCAATAGCAATCAGCAGAACCGTAAAGCCTCCACCGACGGCCACGCTGAGAGCCATGCCAATGAAGATGCTGTGGAATAGAATGCCAACTTCGAGCATCATGCACTGCAGAATGCTCTTTTTGTGGATTTGTTCTGCCGTCATGCCCGTGCTCTGGGATTCCTCCCCGAGCGTCTCCTTGGAAACGTTTGCAGACTGGTTTGGCAGCGGCGTCGCGGGCTCGATGCTTACACGAGCAGGGCGCGTTATGGCAGCGACAACCTGTCGGTGGTTGCAATGACCACCGCTGAAGGTGTTGGTCAGCGGAGGGAAGTCCGACCCATCACCGTTCTCGGTCCCGCTGGGAGCCGCAGCTCCGGACTTTGCGGCCCGGGGGGTGAAGTGACGCGCGGGGCTAAAGACCATCTCGATTACTGCCACGAAGAAGATTCCGACGAGCGCGATGGCACCAGGCATGGCCGGATAATCGCTAGTCCAAAAGTCACCGAGGCATGGATCCCCAAGGTTGATAAAAGCGGTGGGCAGGAGGTGCACGAAGGCTGTGGCCAGCAAAATGCCGGTGCCGAAGTGTCTGACGGCAAAGAAGAAAGGCTCCGGGATGCGAACGAAGGGGAATCTTTTGGCAATCATGGGGATGGCGCATGCCAGGCTCGACACGGCAAGAATGATGAGCAGCCCGCCCACGTGAAGGGGGACATTGTACTCATGCTTGGACGCCACGCTGTTGGCGCAAGCATTTTGGCGTTTGCTGAGGCGCTCAAGAGCCGGTTCTGCTGTGATGGATGTCAGTATATGTATCGTCCAATGAACTGACACATGTTCCAAAGAGGAAAACGTAGTAATGGTGGTGGCGATGGTGGGGGCGGGGTTGGGTTTTTACCTTTAACAACAGTTGGTTGCAAAACAGCGGATTCGTTGCTGACAGCTTGAACTCGACCACTGAAGAAAGCCGGGACAACATTGCCAACAACGTGAAAAACTGTCGACATGACGACGACAGAGGCAATCCATCCAATCCAGCCCGAAGGGGGCTGAATTGAACGGGGGGAACGACGGGCTCGGCCTTCACCACCGAGCGCTGTCGCGGGGGCAGCAATGAGCGGACCTATAAAATTGCACAATGTCAACAACACCGTACTCGATACGAATGCCATCCATTCGACAAGAGGGACGCAACTTACGACCGCTCATTGCGCAGGCAGCGATTGGAAGGCGAGGGGTGTTGGCCTCGAAACTCCTGGGATCTGCGGATTTTTCGTCATTTGGGAATCCGAATGAATTCGTGGCTCCAGATCCTTGATTGCGCTGCTCCCGGGCGTTGACGATGCCATTGAGATCTTGACAGGTGGTGAGGTCCGGGGCCAAGAAAGGCGGGTTCTGGTTCCATGTGGGATGTTCAAAATCGTCGTCGGTTCGGGAAGGGCGGTTCATGGTGGGCAGGTGGCAATGCGCGCGTGTGCAGTCTCCAAAAAAATAAAATTGTGGTAATTGACGATGACGATGGTGATGCTCTCTCAACGGAGAGGAGTGGGTGAGTGACTCTTGGAAATTAATTATAAAAAAAAAAAAGGAATTGCAGTTCTAGGCCCCTGACGAAACGTTCATGGAAGACCGGGATCCTTCCTTGACGCCATCCGCTTTCGATTGGTCAAGTGGGGCCCACCAGCGGTGTCCCTGAAACCTTGCCTGCAGCAGTTTGGATGGCGGCGCCTTCCAGGGCACAAATCCGACGGACGCGGCGCTGTGAGACAATCGGACACCTTGTTGGGTAGGTAGAATGTTCGGGGAAAGCGGTGTGTGGATCTCGGCAAAGGCCTGGCCCTTTCGGAATGTTACGGAGAAGCCTTGTGGAAAATTACACCCCAGCGGCCACATGCACAGAAGAAATTTCAAAGGTCCTAGGCGAAACTTTTTTTTTTTTTATTCTTTTTCTTTTTGAACAAGGGTATCTAAAACAACGCTTGAATTGACGGTCCTGGATTTATTGGCATTCTATTTTAAAGCCGGTGGACAACGGAAATTCGCGGTCTTCGTCAGCCCCTTTCACATGAAATAACAGTGTTAATGGGAAGGCCGGGGAACCAGTCACGAGACGCTTATTAAAAAAACACAAACCATCAGCAGGTATGTCTCAGACTTTTCGGGGCAGCACGGATGCACCCCAAGAAAAGAAACTGCCGTATACGCAATACGCAGTACGTAATTAACTGGGTTAGGGTTGTACCGTCTCCCCGCATTTGGCTAGTCTCCCCGAGATCACTTACACCCAGAGAAGACGACATCATAAACCGGTTTGTTCGTCATGGGTGATTTCGTTTTTCATTTTTCATTTTTTAATTCAATTTTTTTTTTTTTTTTTTTTAAATTTTAAAAATTTTAGATTTTTCTTGCCCAATCATGTCATGCAGTTCGCCAAACTTAGATATGTGGCGCCGTGTCAAAGATCTGGGGTAAATTGGCAGGAACAACTTAATTGTCGCTTCTTCTTTTTCCTCATGAAGCAAATGTTCAGCAGTGCAGCTAGTGTCAAAGTTGAGTTTTTGTTTCAGATGGATACTGTGGGTTCCGGTTCTACACTCTTCGATTTTCCTCCATCTTCTTGCGGCGTCTTGGCGATATCTGTTTGCTATCCCTTGCACCGCCAAGCATCCAGTAGAACCTCTGGCCGCGTGCATCATTCAGTTGACATGGAGGGGCTTTAATCCGATTGTGTGCGCGGGAAGCGACCGCGGAAGCGACTGGGGCAATGCAGCGAATCATTGCTTTTTCCAATCCAGCTAGTTCTGTTCTGAGAACCAATGGGTTTGTGTTCGTTAACCTAAAATCGGTTCCAACTCAAATGATCTGCAACATCTGATGCGGCTCGGATTGGATCTCGAAACATCTTTCAAGATGTGAGCAGCACGGTGCATCACAACAAGTGCCAGCCAAGATACCTAGTCACCGGTTCTCTGTTTATGCAACATCTGGCATGGCAGCGTGCGCGCCACGTTGCGTACACAATCCTCAATCCGTCCAGTGTCTACGAGAAACCTTACCCGGCATACGCGAGAAAGCTGTCATCTAATCAGCTCTTAATATAAGTATCTCTGGCACTGGAAAGAAGCAGCTCCCAAAATCAAGTTTAAAACTGTGCCAATGTATCAAACTAATTGTCCATAAAAGTGCAGGACACAAGTTGCCTCCCACATTGCGCTGTCGTAGCAAAAGCGAGCAGGAGTTTTATTAGTACTGGTTTGAATATCACCAAAAGGAAAGCAAGCCGGCAAACAAGATATTTCCCAAGGGTCACGCCGATTTTCGACCCAATATCTAATTGAAATTCCAATACCGACCAGGTCCAACTTCATCATTCATTCATCAACTTCTTTTGCAGAGCTGATGACTCATGCAAAGAATCTCAATGATGCGCATAGATGGATGTCTCATTCCAAAACTTTTGTGGAGATGAAACCACTACCCATTAAAGTTTTGAACTGAGTGAGTGCAGGCTATTCAAGATTGACATTCCCGCGTTTTTTGGGCCCACAAGTGCTGCATTTTTGTGGAAATCGCTCTTGCTGGCGCGGCAGAGGAGATGCATCGTCTCTGGAATAAATGATTTTGCTCCGTTGGACGAGTTTTTGCGTGTTTGGATTTCCTATCGCTGCCTTCGAACTGCCCATTTTCCAGCCAGTG